CAGGGGAGGTAAGATTTGTGAATGCTTAAAATACACTACGAAATTTCTCAAATTCCTCAACTTCTTAAAATTTTTTAAAATAAATTTCTAATTGGATATACTTGAAATTTTATAAACTTGTTAAAATCCTAATTGAATACACCGGATTTTTAAGAATTTTAATAAACTATTTTAAAATCCTAATTGAATACTTCTAAATTTATTAACAGAATTAAAATCTCTCAAAATCTCAATTCAACATGGTGTAAATTTGTAAAACCTTCCGATTTATTTGTGTTATTATTTATGTGGTCATCGATCGACATTGGCTAAGAACCTAGTTTGGTATGTATTTCCTTTTTTATATATTTTATAATGTTTGGTGTGTACTTGCAAATAAGGGTTGATCTCAGTTTACTATCTTGAAGTTTTTTTATTTTCAACATTTGGTATATGAAGTTTTTTTCATCGCAGAGTGGTACCTAAAGTCATAATTTTGGGACAATCTCATACATCTGTTAAAGTTGCTATTAAGTCAACCGTTAACTGGTGATGTGGTGCCAAAATGAAAAATAAATGAACACCATGTGTCATTATAGGTCCACGTGAATATTAAAAAATTAAAAAATAACAAAAAAAAAATTAAAAAAAAAAGAGAAAACCTTTTTGGTATCTTATTTAGATGTCATGTCGCTAGTTAACTGTTAACTTAATAATAAAATTAAAAGTTGTATGAGACTGTTTTAAAATTATGATTCTAAGTATTAGTCTGGGATGAAAAAAAACTGAATATTGAAAACAAAAAATTTTAGGATAATAAACTGAGATTAACCTTTCAAATAAATAGCAAGTTTATTTCGAGTTCAAATAAATAGCAAGTTGACATTCCCTTATTTGTGAAATTTCGAAATCGTGCCTTTGTCGAACAGGAGAGGGGGATCCCAACCGTCCAAATTGAATTTATTTGTTTTGGTTAGAAAACAGTAACAAATATATCGGTGTGAACCTTTAGTTCCCTGTTTGTATAATAAATACACGCCTGCTGCTCCAACAAGCAATAAATGTATGGGTGACTATTGGTGAGGAATAATTAGGGAGGTTCAAAGTTGGAAATAATCAACTCGATCGTGCCTTGTGAATCTTATAAGAATCAATCATTATTCAGTGTCCAGTACTGAATCTTTAAAAAATAAAGGCAATAAAAAAATTACCCGTTCTGGAGATCCTGCTATAACAAGATTGTATCTCTATACAAGTACATGCATTCAGATACCTTCTTCTGCTATAATTTTCGGTTTCGCTTGCTGCATTGGAGGAGCAAGTTCTGAAAGAAAAAAAAAGAAGATGTCAAGTATGATTGGAACCGTTCGGTTTGGTTTGCTGGGTTTGCTGGTTTTGTTAGCATTATCATCAGCAGCAGTTTCTGCGCATGAAGAACTGGTGGAGTCACAACCTTCAAGGCATGAAAATAATACTGGGAAAGAGGTTGTAGCAAACTTGGGATATAAGCATGTGTGGCCGGTATGTCCAATTTTCGAATAAAATTTATTGGGATTAATGTTGTCTAAGTTAATTAATGCATGTTGTTCTAAGTTGATTGTGATATACATGAACTGTTTGGCTTCTGAGAAAATGCATGTCGCCACAAGGGTGATCGATTAGGCATGAAACTTCTGAATTTGTGTGTGTTGAAGTTGTACTTCCCAGCCAACACAATCAATTAACAATGTACTGTATACCTTTGTTCTCTCATAATCAAAACTCACTTTTTCAAGCTTAAGTGGTACTTCGAGTGTCGAAATAGTTCAAAGTTGAATTGTAGTTTTTACGTGTAGGAAATCAGATTCAGCTGGAAAATTGCTGTTGGTACGATGATTGCATTTGTTGGGGCAGCGTTTGGGAGTGTGGGAGGTGTTGGTGGGGGTGGCTTTTTCATCCCAATGCTCACCCTAATCATTGGCTTTGATCAGAAATCAGCAATAGCAATATCCAAATGTAAGTATATAGTTTCATGCATCACAGAGGGGCTTTATTTAATTCATCTCTTTCCCGATGCTATTTTACCTTTTTCTTTTTATGTTTTCCATTGAAAAATCTGAATGTCGCTTCTTTGCGGTTAGTCAGGTATGATCACGGGTACAGCAACTTCAACGGTCCTGTACAATTTAAGGCGAAGGCATCCTACACTTGAGTTGCCCATCATCGACTATGATCTCGCACTTCTTTTCCAACCAGTGTTGGTTCTAGGGATCAGCATTGGCGTTTCTCTGAATGTGGTTCTTTCTGACTGGATGATCACAATCCTACTATTTGTTGTCCTCTTAGGTAACAATTTCTTAACAATTCTTCTTCATTCACATCTTGGACAAGCTTCATTGAGTGTTCATGATCTGCAGCGGTATCAACTAAGTCATTCTTCAAGGGTGTCAAGGCATGGAAAGCAGAAACCGTAACTAAAAAGGCAGGCTCTAAACTTTGATTTCTACCAAATTCATCTTATATTCTGCACAACTGATCCATCTAACTCTGAAACTTGTTTAATTATTTTTAGATTAAACGTGTTGCTTCCGAAGGCTTGCAATCGAATGGTGAGTTGGTCTACAATTTGTTCTTGTCGCCTGTTTAAGCTCTGATATTTACCTTATTAGTATTACTTGGAAGGCTAATTTTCTCGTTACTCGTGAAGATGTTGAAGACAAATATATTCCTGGAGGCGCAACCAATGGAACTCTAACAGAAAAGAATGAAACTAAAAGAACGAAGGTAAAATTTTTGAAGCTTAAACTTTTCTCTGCAATATTTTAGGCACTAAGTTCTGTGACATTCCCAGGTTTCTGTTGTTGATAATGTTCGCTGGAAGGAACTCGGAGCTCTTGTAGCAGTCTGGCTTGTAATACTTGCATTGCAGATTGCTAAGGTTTATATCTAGTGTCATACATAGTCGGTTTTCCTTACACCGAATCTTTCCATTTGGAGTCTCCTTCACTTCTTTGCATTAAGAAATTAGATTAACGTGAATCTTACTTGTCGGTGCAGACTTATGTGAAGAAATGTTCTGGAACATATTGGTTGATAGAACTCTTGCAGGTACGTACATCTTCCATGCTTCTTGTACCAGGAAAAGAAAAACTTCTTTGTGCCTGCAGATAGCCAGATATATGACCAAAATGAGACTCCCATTGATGGAATTTTTTCTTGTCGTATAAATTAGATTCCGGTGGCTGTTGGAGTAACTTCATATCAGGCAGTTAATCTGTACAAAGGGCGCAGAGTAATTGCATCGAAGGGAGAAGCAAGCACAAAGTGGCCAGTTTACAAGCTTATTGCTTATTGCGCTGGTGGCATAGCAGCTGGTATCCTTGGTGGATTGCTTGGCCTCGGCGGAGCATTCATGTTAGGTCCCCTTTTTTTGGAGATGGGAATCCCTCCTCAGGTATCAAGTGCCACAGCCACCTTTGCCATGACATTCTCTTCGTCCATGTCTGTTGTAGAGTACTACCTCCTAAAACGCTTTCCTGTTCCCTACGGTAGCTTTCTTAGCCATACAAGTTTCTGTGATTGTTTAAAAGACAATTTGGTTATACTTTCAAATAAAACGTTGGCTTTTTTCTTTGTAATTCTCTTGCAGCCCTCTACTTTGCTGCTGTGACTACTATTTCCGCAGTCGTAGGGCAGCATGTGGCAGGAAAGGTGATCAAGAAACTAGGAAGAGCATCTTTGATTATCTTCGTTCTCGCTTCCACGATACTTGTGAGTTCAGTAACGTTAGGTATGCACCATCCCCTCGTACTCTATTTCTCTTAGTGAGTTGAACCTGTCATGTTCCGGCCAGTGAAGATATGTATTTCTGTTGACAAAGTGAATACTTTTTTTTCAACTTAACAGGTGGGATTGGCGTAGGAAACATGGTTAAAAATATCGAGCAGAAGAAGCCCTTGGGATTTCAGAACATCTGCACTTAAAAACCCTAGCCTTTGAGACGCAGAACATATGAAAGCTGCATGCATTTTCCGAAGACGAAAATTTTGGCAGCAGAGAGAAGCAACTGGGGAATTAGCATGACAATTTTTGACCTAATTATACCTCCTTATACTAGAGACCAAAAACATGTACTCAAAACCAAAAGTTTAAGCTATTTCCATATCATTATTTAGTTTCTTTTGAATGTGTGCCCCTAATTATATTATTAAATTTTATAGTTTGGAGAACGAAATTGTGAAGTAGCAAATTTTACTCTTCAAATTACCGCGTAGGTTAATAAACTTGTACTTGTAGAGGCTGTTGGAGATGCTCTAAGAACGTTCACCCTTATGCACGAAATTAGTGTGTTTGGTCCGGGGCTTTAAACAGCACTCCGGTCTTCCCTGGTATTGCTTGCGTTGAAAGGGAAAATAAGAGAATCGTCAAATTTTTGTAGTGGCTTCTTTCCATAGTTCCAATTTAAGAAAACATGAATGTGTGCAATCTTTTGAGTGCCTGATTGATTAGCATGTTAATTAGGTTAACAGATATCCTGTTAATTGTTGACCAAAGTTTTGCAACTTGATCACCATACAATGGTTTTGAGATCGATTCTTAATTAGGTTTACAGGTATCCTGAGCTCAGTCAGCCCATCCACACTCGTGTGGATGACTAATGAGCCATAGGTGCATTACCGGATCTAATGCATCAACGGCTAATAGTCACTTACAAGAGCAACTAAACCCTTATCTACGAGGCTTTGTAATTGCATACGTATTCACGAAGACTGATTGAGTTAACCAGCTAATTGTGTGAACTCAAGTGAACCCTTCCACAAATCTACTAAATGTTAAGAGGAGCTTCATTGCAACCAGTAGAAAGCTGAAACTTGAAAGAAACGTTTAGATATTTTGGCCAAGAAAGAATTAGACAAATAAGTACAAGCACCTCGGAGGAAAACTTCTAACCAAAACATGGACGAGAATTTAAAATTATAGTCAAATAACAAGACATCAACTGGTAAACAAAACAATCAACGTGATCACCGGCTATGTACGACTGTATGAAAATCAGATTTATTTTGCATTGACAGAGCGTACTCAAAGAAAACAAACTACTTAACAAGTCGATTTACATCTTCGGACCCTATCCTTGTTTAGCTATAGTTCATTAATTTCTACCACACAGTTTCGAGTATAAAATGGAAAACCAAGGCTTGTGGAAGAGGATGCATCATTGTTCTCTCCACCTCCTCCACAATGAGGAAGGAGTTCCTCGTGAAGGCGGAGGCGTGAGGAGGTCTAACATGGTTTGCTTCTCATTCGGGGTCAATGGAACACCTCTAACAAGGTTCAAGGCCATGATGTGGACATTAGTCTTTTGCCTGTGCCTGTTATATGCCCATATTCCTGCAGCAGCACCAGCAACGACAAGCTGTTTCCAAAACCCAATAACAATCAAATGAGCATAAATCAAAAATTAAGATTCCAGCAGAAAAGTTCAAGTGTTTAAGGTTTTCTAATTTACCGGTGATAACCACAAGCCTGCAGTCTGCAGATCAAATTTTGGGGCATAAAGTACTGTCTCCCCAAAATCCTCTTCGAGCTTCTTATATATCTCTTTATCGCTCTTCCCAGCATGAATTTCATCCCGAATTAACTACACAAATATCATATACATTAACGTTATTAGGTAAACCTTTATGACACAGATGCATGGTCATTTATGTAACAAAAAGTTTATGGACTTCCAAACTCCTTCTCACAAACAGCAATCAAGATGGTTAGAGAAAAGTCATACTAGCAAAGTTCAAACGGTATTTGACAGTTTGTAAATAATCATTATGTTACAGTACAAAAAGTTAATTAAGTTAAAAAATAAAAATAAATTCCTTTTCATACAATCAAGATGGAAAGTAATACCATGCTAGAATAAGTTCACAAATGAAATTGACAAACATGCACCTAAAATGTAGTGTTGTTACAAATATCCCGCCACTTAGTACATCTGGGTTAAACAAGACTAGCCTAATCTTGGCCATTAATTAGTCTCACTCATCGCAAATATCTCCATCTTCTCTATGAAGCAATTATTTCAGACATGAATAGTTGAAGACTATCATTCACAGATAACTTATAAGTACATAACAAACAAATAAAAACCTCTTATATTGCTAACTTGGATATCTAAGTGATTAGTAGCTGCTACTTGCTACTTACTAACATGATGTTTCTCAAAAGTTTTGATAGGTATCTCAACTTTGGCGTAATTGAACCATACGCAAATTGACTAATGATATACCTAATAATTGTTAGCATGCATTGTCAAGCACCCGGAATGAAACCAAAGTGAAAGCTCAGCAAGTCAATTAGTGCAAAACGTAATTAGTTAGGTTTTCAATTAATCTGTTGTGTTTAGATTTGTTTGTACCATACTTGACCAATACCGAAACTATCAAGCACTGGTCAACTTCATACCTTCAAAGACCCACTGAAGGGTTCATGCTGAGGCACCCCTGCCGAAGCACAAGAGTTTCCCTCCAACCAGTAGGCCAATCACAACACGACATGTGTCAACATCAGAATAAAGCTCCTAGAGTCCCACATCAACCACGAACAAAAGCCGGAGACTCTTCTCAACTATAAAAGGAGACCATTCTCCTACAATTAATCCCTAATGTCATTATTGTACTTAAACTAGTCATTAGAACCCACTAATGATGATTATGCTTGAACTTATGTATTTGTGTAAACCCTTCACTATTAATGAGAACTCCTCTACTCCGTGCATGTAGCCAAACTTAGAGTGAAGCACGTACATCTTGTGTTTGCTTCCCTACCTCTATCTCTTTTCATATTATCCTCTCTAGATGACCGGAGCAACCGAGCAAAGGTCACAAACTTGACACTTCCAAAGTATCACTGATTTTGTGCATCAACAAGCTTGTTAATAATAATAATTAGAGTTGTATATCATATATCTGGTCTAAAACCAGATCATAATATGTAATGATTCTTTACTGTTCTCTCTCTCTCTCTCTCTAAGGTTCACAATAGGTTTTTCATGGATTGTATCAATAATGTATCTCAAATTCAACATAATGGTAAATGTAATACCTTTCTAAGCAAAATGGCAATATCCGCTTGTGAATCTTCAATGGACTGACTCCCACATTCAGTGCATCGAACATTATGACTAATGTTCCGAGCCCGGGCATCCACCACCTGAGACTTCTTCACCGGGTCCTCTTCGCTACCCATTGTTCTGTATCGGGCCTCAAGATCTCAAATCTACCAACGATCAGCCCAAAAATAAATAAAATTAAATAGGCAATTAAACAAAGTTCAAACAGTTGTGCTTTCACTGAGACATTTCATCAAACAGTTGCCGTGCATTTTATTTTTTCAAAAACAACATATCCAACAATCGATCAAAACCGCTATATGTTGTTTATAACTTTTGAGAATTGACTGAGTTATGAAAGACAAGTGAAATTGTTACGTAGTTTTCTCTCGGCATTTTCTTGGCAAACAAACAGATGATAAGAAATGAAGAATAGAGAACCGGCGCGTACGCCGTACCTGAGCTGAAACTGAGATGATACGCTCCCAAAAATTCTGTCGTGCCTTGAGTTTGCTTTGATTTGAATGTAAAACGACAGTCGTATCAAATGTATGCTGTCGTCGTAAGAAAACTTTTAGCGCTCCATTTTTATTGAAGGATAATGTTATTTATACACTTATTTTTGCATTTCACATATCTTTTTAAATTTTTATAGTTGATTTTTTTTATTCATTCAATCCAAATATCAAAAATTAAGAGGTGCGTATGTGAGAAGTAAAAAAATGAGTGTGTGGATAACACAAACCTTATTGAAAGGGCTGAGGCTTTTTGTACTTTGTGCTCCGATCAAGTCTGCAGTCCTGAGTTCAATCGAAGGGGTGTCATGAGAATTGGAGTAGGATTCTCTCATCTCCTACTCTCATCCACTTCCCTTCCATTCTCTCACACTTTGCTTGATGTCTTATTGTTTCTATATAAAAAAAAAATTCAATATAAGATGTTGACGTTTTTTATTTGACAAAATTAATACTCTTATAATCTTATTACATGATAAGCATATCAACAACATCAACTATGGACATTTATTTCATATTATTGACAAAATTAATACTCTTATAATCTTATTGCATGATAAGCATATCAACACCATCAACTATGGACATTTATTTCATATTATTGACAAAATTAATACTCTTATTACATAGTTGCGGGACCTCAAATATTTGATGTGTAGTAATGATGTCGTAAATAAGATATGAGTAGGGTTGGTTACATGATAAATACTAATGAGACTATTTCAAAAGTTAGAATCTTCATTGACTTTTTATCACCTCATGTTTTTAGCACAATACTTATAATATTGTCACAAAATTAACATTAAACTGTGAAATGACAGAAAGTTCATGAAGAATTCCACTTTGAGGGTCCTTAAACACTCAATGCATGTTGAGTAACTACGCTCCCTATTCGATGCATGTTGTACGGGGAAAAGCAACCATCTGACCCACTTATGCATGTCACTTGGGAATAGTGGGTGCGCAATTGGATCACATATGAAAGGTAGGTTCGAGTTGGGCAGTAAAGGTCGAAGAAGGGCAATCACTTATTCTTAAAATCAGCATTCTTAAGATCAAAGAGTCGCGTGAAAAATGTCAGAAAGCTCTCTGTTTCTAATCCTCCTGTAGCTATATCCTTCGGAACCACAAGAATCTTAGAATGGGATTTCGACTCAACGCATTTCCTTTTGAGATTTTAAGAAAGGTGCTCTTGCTTACCTTGGATATGAGGAACTCCTAAAAAAAGGTATTTGACGAAAATCTTTCGATCAATAGATAGGATTTAGTGTTCAATATAGGGGATATGATGATCCATCTGCTCTCTCTCTCTCTCTCTCTCTCAAAATAGGGAGGGGGCACATATAACGATATATAAAAAATGGGTAGATGGTAAAGGATGCATAGACGACATCTATGGGGATGCCTATTCTATTCCTCTCTTTTTTTTTTTTTCAGACAAATAAAAGGTAAGCTGATGAACGTTAATATGCTTGCTCTAATAATCAATTATCTGTAAAGAAAATTTACGTTATGTTGCATGAAACATAGCTGTCGATATGTCAGTTCATATTATATTATTTGACTTTATTAACATTTTGATTACATAGTTGTTGATATATTTGTCTATTTAAGTGTACCTAGCAAGTAACTAACGTGTGACATTTCTTATTGGTTGATCTAACACAAATTTTCTCAAGCATAATCTCGTTTTGCTAAATATTAGGCTCGTCAACCAGCTATTTTATGTCTCGTAGAACAGGATCCAGCCTTCTAGATATATCTTAGTAAGTAGTGTTAGGGTATTGGATTTTTATTCATGCATTCCGGGTTCAAAACTCTCATTTCCTAAATTATTGTAATAGCTTCAAACTCTCCCCCTTATAATAGTAAAAAGAAATTAAAAAAAAAAAATACATACATACATACATACATACATATATATATATATATATATATATATATATATATATATAAAGCCGGTTTCATGCCAAAGCAACCCGGAAAAAAGGAAAAAAAATTCGGGAAGGGATCCACCAAGGCCACAAATTCGGATCTTTGAAATTTGATTCAACAGCTAAAGTTATTATAACTTTTAAAATGGACCCCTGTTTGTAACAATTGGATCAAATTTCAAAAGCTCAAATTTGTGACCTTGATGGACTTGGTGGAAGGGATCCGGATCCCTTTCCAAAAAAATGCACCAAACTGTTGAAGATCTCAAACCAAAGAAAGTGCACGTAAACATTTAACCAAAAGAAACATCCGTTATATCCATCAGAACACATAATCTTAAGCTAGAATCAAAAGATCATTTGTGATTTAAAGCTTTAAATACTATAAAAAAGCGTCTTATGATTATGTTCCTAGAGCGTGTATACAGTTAATTATCACTCTTAAGTAGGTCTTAAATTCGACTCTCGTTGATAGACAAATTCGAATCAGAACCAGATTAGTACCCTCCGGAAATCAGGTCAACAATTTCCGAGAATCATGCCATAATTTTGATGGAACAGTTGTATTATAAATTATTGTGGAAGTCGGGTCCTTCATGTATTACATTGCACTGTAAGTTTCAGTAGGCTCACAAATATTCAAGGAAGAAAACAGCTCTCGTAATTTACATAGGCCTTGCAGGGTGCAGGGTGAGCACCTGAAAATTAGTACCCAAACTCCCCAGCTACAGGTTACAACGCGACGATAACTTCCAAAGGGAATTCAGGCAGACGTATCCATACTAGCTTATTGCTCACTATCTCCCTGCAAATCAACACAATACATGAATTCTGAAGAATATAAACACACACCAATCAATAAATAAACTCTGTTTCCACCATCCGGCAAGTTTTCTTTTCGTCTGTAATTTAGTGAGTTTAACTAAAGAAATTTCAGCTAAACCTAAAGTACAGAGATCATTTGGAGGTAGCAGAGCTTGAACTAGAGAATCAACTTCAAGGTCGTGAAACCAACTCCAATATTGACAGCAGATTGCACCTACATTAGTAGAAGTTGAAACTTTTTGTGACCAATCATCTAGTTGGCAAAAGAATGGGGACTAATTGGAGATTCAAGACACCTACTCTGAAAGTTAAAATTGCAAAGGAGACTGACGAGACAAAATTCGAAGAGACATAAACTAAAGTATCCCCTTCACTGTACCCTCTCGGAGCTGTTACCCAGACGCTTTCTTTTCTAGAATGTCATGTTTTCTGATAGTCTAAAAAATTATTCAGGTAACCGAGGATGTTAAGGAAAAACGGTAACTGGACACTCAACTGAGCATGGCAATACACTAGGGGCAAAAGTGAGTCATAAGTTCCTTCGTTAGTAAAAAGGACTTCAGCTTTGTGTAACATAAATGATCTCTAATTAGTGTTCCCTAGATAATCAAATAAAAAGATATTAGATAAGGTTACTGAACAAATTAGCCCTCAACTCAGGGAAATGGAAGCTCAATGAGCAGACAAAAAACCGAACTCTGTCTCATAGCTCTGCCAAAGAAGCAATCAGTAACTACGTCCCTTTAGATCCAAGAAATCCTCAAAATGTAATCCTTACATGATAACTGCTAAAAAGTAATAGTGCATGATACTGAGAAAACAATTATATAATTATAATTCAGGTAATATGAGGGAATACCAACTATCAAATTGCGACTACCTATTATGAGGTACACTAAAACCAAGATATGTAACGGGTTGATGTCATAAAACTAAGGAGTGCCTCATAAAATAACAAAATAGATACCTTCATTGTGGTGGAACAAGTGCAATTTCAATTTCTTGGAGGGACTTTCCTTTTGTTTCTATTACGTTTCTCTTCACAAAAAGGACGGCCAGTAGACAAAACGTAGCAAAGATTGTATACAGAATTTGTGGCCCGATTTGCTCCAGCAACGGTAAAAACAACAGGCCAACAAAGAAATTTATCACCTGTTGAAGGCACCAAAGTTCATTAGTGCGAGATGGCATTAAAAATTAGAAATTTGTGCAAACACAAGAAGCAATTTCATTGAGACCTCGACATGCAACTCTCAAGAATGGATTCTTACAAGAACAACAGTAACCATGCAGAAAAGTATATTAAATTAATTATGAACAATGAATAATATCCGAATCAACCAATATAATTGCAGCAAACCATAATTATATTAGACTATTAGCGTACTACTGTATCATCCATGCAGTGGCCCAGCCATGATAGTTATTGTGCTGGACTGAACTTCCAAAGAAACAATAATTGATCTTATTCAATAAACTGTCAGATTTGAGTAGAATCCCCTTAATTCGCATTTTCTAAAGCTAAACCTGTTTTTATGTAAATCCAAAAATTACGCTAGGATACCAAGACCTTCATCCCTGTTCAATACCTGTTCAAGTTAATTAATTAAAGATGAGAACTTGAGAAGGAATATTATGCATGAATTCTATTGTCATTGTAGATGAAAAAGCACCCTACACTTTATCATTAAGGGAAAAAAAAAAAAATTCATTTGATCGTCAAATTCAATGTACTGTGGATGAGCTGTATACACAAAGATCGTGGGCTGTTTTAGACTGACTGGCCCTGCAGCCATGACAAATTATTAACACCAGATTCTTGCTTTCGTAGATTAAAAGTGATCATCAAGTAGAAAAGTTTTGTCGGATATCACGTTCATAAAAATATGTTTGGTATGTGTGTAGGACAAGTTATCTGTCAGCTCCACAATCACGAAAATAAAAGGTGCAAATGAACCATATCTGGAAGAACTATAGATGACAATTACCCAATGCACAGCCATGCAAACTGCCATTGCTTTTGCCCTAATACGGCCAGGAAGAATTTCTGATAGGAGGAGACCAGGCACTGGACCAGCACCAGTAGCAAACATGAACACAAACCTGCAAAAACCATTACATAATCTAGAATATCATAACAATCATACCCAAAAGCTTCTGTGCAGATTTGCTTTATAATCTCAAAGTCATGTAAATGTGGTATGTGGAAGTATAGATAATTAGATATGCATGCATAATGCATTAAAATAAAAAATCTATGGAGAAATGGCGCATAACATTACAATATGTTATATTCACTCAATTGTGTCAATTTTTT